CGCGCGGACACATGAAGGGTGCGGACGCCACCGAACAGCACAAATCCACGACCCTGGAAGCCCCTGGCGTTGAAATCACTCTGACACCTACTCCCCTAGTACTGCCTCCATGTCTCCCACCCACCTGCAGCCAAGAGATCCAGCTTCTGGCCCACGGACGGCGTTCAGGACGTTCTCTCCAGCGGACCAAGATGGAGCGGTGCACCCGACAACGGAAGATACCACACCCCCGCACGGAGCTTCACGCCAAAGTTACTACCTCGTAGAGTTGCTCGAATCGCACGATACTCGGAGGGTGTGCTTATTGGGGTGTTAGGTGCCGAAAACACCCTGGTAAAAATTCGGATCAGCACTACAGCGGGAGCTATTGCAAGGTTTCTGTCAAACCCTATGGCTAAGCGTGTTTTGGGGGCGCGCAGATGGGGAGTTTTTTGGTCGGAAAAAACGAAGAAAGCAGCCATACGGGGCCCCCAGCAGACAAAATCAACGTGAGGCAAGGCGGTGGTGTACTGCTGTGTGTATCTGCACATGCTGGGTCCTTCGACCTGGATGGGCCTATACAATACCCCCTACTGTTTTTTTGGGGCAGATGCAGAAGATAGAGGGCTACACGTTGGAACGTTTTTGCTCCATGTGCTTCGGAATATACCGCAGACGGTAGTTTTCAAAAAGGACTTTCGTTCCGCGACCGACCGGGGCAATACCATACATACAATACACGACCTGTATTATCCTGCGGTACAAAGATGCTGCCAGGTATCTTCCCGATGGACGTAATGAATGGAAGTAATGGAGAGGTGGTGTGTTCAGCAATGTGAAACGCACACCATCCATCTCAACCAAAAAAATAGCCAATCAATTGCATCGAGGGACGTGGGAGCGTCAGCGAGAGGAAAGCTGTTTCGGGACCCCGACTCTATACACGCGGAGCTGGTTTGTCGTTTTTGCCATCAACGACCGTTCTGATCTCTCTCTAGTGACATTCCGCACCTAGTCTAACTGGCGAGGACGCCTTCCGTGGTCACAGCCCAAGTACCCAAAAAAAGAATCTGTATGTGCTCATGTTGGACAAATACGAATCAATAAGCTACATTGACCAGACTACAAGGGGACCCAGAGAAGAACACAAACGACAACATGACAGCATTGTGTCAGGAAAATTCGTGCGTCGAGACCACCAGTAGTCGGGCACGGTTTGATCTTTGAATGGGATTGCAGCAACTAGTCTGCGTAGCAGTAGAAAAGAATCTATCTCTCCGTGGCATGTATTCTCTTGTTCTACAAGTATTCCGGAGGCATGCTAAAGAGACTATTTATTTGTCCGGTATTCGAGGAGAGTGGTGCATGCAGCCCTAAGCTCGCCACCCCTCTCACTCCTCTTCAGTACCAACAACATCAATCTGACTCGGGAGTCAGCAATTAATCTTCATATTTCCATTCCAAGTCTCTCGCGGTTGGAGCCGCACAGAGTGTGAACCTCTGAGGTAGGCTACACAGCCTCCTGGCATCTGCAGCATCGTACTGCTGCTATAACAGCAGTGCGCAGCGAAATTACGCTGACAAGTTATGAGCCTCGGCTAACACACACACTACGAGCTGCGAGCATCACGGGAAGATCAAGGCACCCTCCTCTTGGGACATCAGCCTTCATCCGTGGACGACGAGAGAACCTAGTTTCGGAGATTTCTGGAGATGGCGACGCCGTCATCGGTCAACGGCACCACAAGCAAACGCGCAAACTTGATCATCTACCCCAAGGTGCTGAGAGTTCACGTCGTATAGACTACACACGTTACCACCGCTGCGGCAGCAGTGGGTACCTCTGTGGTGAACTAGCAGCAAGGGTCACGTGCGCGGGAGTCTCGAGCGGCATACGCATCGGGTGTACAAGGAGCTACACTGTATCATCAGTGGAGGCGATCAGCAATCGGAGTCCTCTATATCAGTAGCAGGAGCGGGATCGGAAACAAGAAAACCACAACCGGAGTCCTCTAGATCAGTAGCAGGAACGGGGTGGGGAAGTCTCGGGTATAGGCAGTAGTACCACGAGCAAACTACTCCTGCAGCAGGAAGTACTTTTATCAAGACGAAGAAAATTAAGCTGGAACGAGCAATGGATACCGCAACGAGCAATACAGGAGGTGGAAGCGCGTTCGCCAGCGATCGTTCTACAAACCTGGCAACCGTGGTCAAAGGCCTCGAGAAATTCGACGGAAATGACCCAGCTGAGTTCAAGACATGGATGAAGAATTCTGCGTGGTGTTTGGCGTGACCAGGAAGGACACTCTGCCACTGCTGAAGAAACAAAGGAAGCCAGATCCCGCAGACACAGCGGTCTTCGACTCCTAAACAAGGGCAAACGCAGATCTCTACGCCATTACTTTCCTCCTAGTGGAACTTCCAGTCGCCTTGTCGGTGCAGAAGCACGAAGACGACACTGACATTAGCGGCGAGGGACAAGCTGCCTTCGAGGAGCTCTGCAACAACTATGACAGGGTAACGAACGAGGTCATCAGGGCCAAGATGGAGGAGCTGGAGAACAACCCCATGAACCCTGGTGAAAATCCCGACGACTACTTCAACCAGAAGCACCTACTTCGCGCCCAACTGGATAAGATGGGAGAACCCATCTCCGACCGCCGCTTCAAGGACATCTGCGTACAGGGCTTCTCCGACGAATATAAAGACGGCAAACTGATGGTGTTCAGGGATCCAACCTTCAACGTCCTGGACATGCAATCCACCACGCGCAACATCTTCTTGGACGAACAATCGCGCAAGAGATGGAAGGGACGCATAGCTGGTCGAGAATTTGACATGGCAACGACCGCGTCTGACATCATCTGCCACCGCTGCTACGAGCCGGGGCACATCAGGAGGAACTGCCCCAAGATCAAGAACAGGGCGAAGAAGAAAACGAAGCCCGCCGGAGCTACCAAGCGGTGCCCCAAGCACAACACCACGTCTTACTCGGACGAGGAATGCTACCAGCAAGGAGGAAAGCGCCCGGACTCAAGTAAAGCATTCACCGCGTGTCCAACTGCACTCACTGCTCGTCGGCGTCTAACAAGAACGACTTAAACAGTGAAGTGGCAGTTGTCGACTTCACCCGGGACAAGAGGACGCCTTCGACAGCGGCTTCATGTTCGGCACGTGTTCCCGCATCTCAGGACGCAACTTCGCCGCGAGCCCCACCGGGGGGGGACTGCTGGTAGGCACGGGAGCATCGGAGACCATGTTTGACAATCGCCTCATCCCCGACGGAAACCTTCACGAGTACACCCAGCGAAATTCTCCAAAGATCGTTGACGTGGCCGGAGAAAGCCAACTCACAGGCACGGCCACGGGCATCCTATACTGCACCGTCAAGGACAATCGAGGACAGCNCCCACCGGGGGGGGACTGCTGGTAGGCACGGGAGCATCGGAGACCATGTTTGACAATCGCCTCATCCCCGACGGAAACCTTCACGAGTACACCCAGCGAAATTCTCCAAAGATCGTTGACGTGGCCGGAGAAAGCCAACTCACAGGCACGGCCACGGGCATCCTATACTGCACCGTCAAGGACAATCGAGGACAGCAATTGCGCGTGCGGATTCAGGGACTCATCGTTTCGGGGCTTGGTCGCCACATTTTTTCGCCCACCTCCCTCCTGAAAAAGGGATTGCGCTGCGTCGTCGAAGAGGGCACCCCACACCTCGCTATTCAAGGCAAGGTGATTCCGCTCACACAAGATCCGCGAGACCAAGGCATGTGCACCCTCGACATTACGTTCGAGCAGAACGTCCAGCCATCTGGCACGAGATCCCTCGCGCCCCACCAGAAGCAGTCACAGACCCACACGGCGAACGCCGTCTGCTTTACGCTTGTGAGCGCGGACACCTGGCACAGGAGGCTTGGACATCTCAATGCTCGGAGCCTGGACATCCTTCGGAAGGACACGGGTACCGGGGTGGACTATCGCCACAGTCTTTTCCCTTGCGAGGTCTGCCAGATCGCGAAACGCAAGCAGTCCCCCCACCCGAAGCAATCGACTCGCGAACTATCACGGCCTGGACAACTTGTGGTCATCAACAACATGGGGCCTGTTAAGCCACCTGCGAAATATAAAGGAGGCTACTTCCCGTACGCGTGCAAGATCACNACAGTCTTTTCCCTTGCGAGGTCTGCCAGATCGCGAAACGCAAGCAGTCCCCCCACCCGAAGCAATCGACTCGCGAACTATCACGGCCTGGACAGCTTGTGGTCATCGACAACATGGGGCCTGTTAATCCACCTNGATCACCGACGACTACACGAAAATGAAAGTAGTGTACCTGCTTCGCAAGAAATCTGACACGACCGAGGAGGTGCACACGTACAACATGTGCGTCGCAGCGGCAGGAGGCTACCGGATCGGGACCGTCCGCTGCGACAAAGGAGGCGAGAACAGCGGATCCGAATTTCGAGACTACTGCAAGAATTCAGCTATCAAGCTCGAATACGCCGCCACAAACACCCCTGAATATATTGGTGTATCGGAACGGGACGGACAATCCCTGGCCGGAGTCACCCAGTGTCTTCTGAAGGATGGAGACTTTCCGCCGTCCGTGTGGGGGGAGTTAATGCTGACTGCAGCAAACCTGTTGAACATTTCCCCACACTCAGCACTGGGGGGAGCTACGCCTTACTCGAAGTTGCACAATATGTCACCTGATCTCTCGGGACTTCGGGTCATTGGAGCGCGCGCCTTCGTACACCACGAGCGATACCGAAAGAAGCTGGACGACAGAGCTTTCGAAGGCAAGCTATGTGGTTTCGGCCTCGACAAAGCTACCGGGTATTCAATCCATCCAACGAGGCCGTGGTCGACAGCCGGAATGTGACTTTCATCGAATCTCCACCCCGGTCAGTGCCATTCCAGCATTCCACTGAAGCAAACGGGTACGAGAGCGACGTGCTGAGCTTCACCTCCCTGTTGGACAGCCCCCACTCGACGAGCGACCTGAACTTCACGGCGCAGAACGACCTCCTTCGGCAAGAAGTCCGGAAGATGCAGCAAGACAATCTCGCTCGGGAGGAGGTTCGCCTAGAACTGGACGGGAACGAAGACGAACATGGAAGCGGACAAGATCTCAGCGACGAGGACGCCCCATCACCGCATCCCTCATCGACGCCAGCTGGACCGTCATCCGAAACCCACGCATCTAGCCCAAGCCCATCATCGTCGAACCCGACTGAACCGGATAGTTCTGCACCAATTGGATCCAAGTCACCAGAGCTAGCACGCGCGGGAAGCCCACCAGCGACGATCAGATCGACGTTAACTTGGTTCCTGCCGATCTGCAAGTCACCATGAACGACCGCGGTCGAGCCCATGCTGCAAAGGGCCGCGTGGAGCCATCCGGTCTTTCCTTCACTCAGCTGGCCGAGAGATAGCCGATCAAGCCCAGCTCCCATGCCCTGGCGATACTGAGGATTTCGCCCACTTGGCGGAAGACCCCTTCACGGTGCCGCGTGCTCACGCCTACGTCACGACCACTCACGACCACCACGGGATCTTGGAGTAGACGAATCAACCGATCGAAATCCCCAACACCTACGACGAAGCCATGAGCTCACCTCAGCGCGAAAAATGGAAAGGAGCGTGCAGCAAGGAAATGGACAATCTGCGGAAACACAACGTCTACAATCTGGTGCCCCTCAGTAGCGTTCCCAAGGGAGAGAATATTATCGCAACGAAATGCGTCTTCAAGAAAAAGCTGGACGGACGCTTCAAAGCTCGTCTGGTAGTAGTCGGAGGACATCGTCAAGAGCCAGGACAGGATTACGGACGCAGTTACGCACCAGTATGCCATATCGGGAGCATTCGCATGACGTGCGCCATTGGCGGCCACAACAACTGGCCCATCTACCAACTGGACGTTGTCGGTGCCTTCCTAAACGCCCTCTGCGACAGAAACGTGTACGTCAGACCCGCCCCCGGTACATCCGACAAGAACTCCGCAACAGGAGAACTCATGGTGTACAAACTAGAACGGAGCCTCTACGGCCTATCGCAGTCGCCGGCGCTCTGGAACGACACCCTGGACGAGTCTCTCACGGTATGCGGATGGAAAAGGACTCAATCCGACCCCTGCGTGTGCGTGTATACCAGCGGCAACATCATCGTGTTTTTCACGGTCTACGTAGACGACATTCTCATCACGGGAGGAGATCAGCAGCTCGTGGACTAGAAAAAGATGGGATTATTTTTCGATACGATGCCAACGGAGGGGTCGAGGTAGAAATGGATATNTTTTTCACGGTCTACGTAGACGACATTCTCATCACGGGAGGAGATCAGCAGCTCGTGGACTAGAAAAAGATGGGATTATTTTTCGATACGATGCCAACGGAGGGGTCGAGGTAGAAATGGATATGGTGATGCGGTTGACCATTGTGAAATAGTTGCTTGATCGAGGGGTCGTGTCAGGAAAAATCGTGCGTCGAGACCACCAGTAGTCGGACACGGTTTGACCTTTGAATACGATTGCAGCAACTAGTCTGCGTAGCAGTAGAAAAGAACCTATCTCTCCTTGGCATGTATTCTCTTGTTCTAGAAATATTCCGGAAGCATGCTAGGTCAAGGTCGACCGGGACATCTACGTAGAACGCGTGTAGCTTCTGGAAAACTTCTGGAACGTTCCGGAACCTTCTGTAAGCTTCTGGAAGCATTCTAGACCCAGGTTGCACTTGATGCGTTTCTAGAACGTAGGAGGGCTTCCAGAATCATTCTGGAAGCATTCTAGATCTTTCGTGTGATTGACTTATTTGTCCGGTATTCGAGGAGAGTGGTGCATGCAGCCCTAAGCTCGCCACCCCTCTCACTCCTCTTCAGTACCAGCAACATCAATCTGACTCGGAAGTCAGCAATTAGTATTCATATTTCCATTTCAAGTCTCTCGCGGTTGGAGCCGCACAGAGTGTGAACCTCTGAGGTAGGCTACACAGCCTCCTGGTATCTGCAGCATCGTACTGCTGCTAGTGCACAGCGAAATTACGCTGACACATTGCAAACCAGAGGCTGTCCCCCACACACTCAGCCTTGGAACGGGTGACAATTCGGACAAATGAAATCGATGTAGGAAATCGATACACAGAGTGCATCGAGCCCGCTCGACACGCCAAGCCAGCAAAGTACGAACAGTCGAACACAACCAAGATCACGAAATTCAAGACAGCAATAACTCGAATGATTTTCAGCATTTTTCACGTCCTCCCGTCGTCGCGGTGTATTCACCACCGGGTTTGCAGTCCCCGGTCATGCTGTTTCTCCATACAAATATGAAATATATGTGAGACTCAAAAATTAATAAGGCACAGGTGATACCTGTATGCTCCATAATCCGTGATAACCAACAAGCGGGACGCTCACATTTTTCGAAAACGCCAGAGTATTCCATGCCAGGTTCTCGCTTGGTAAAGCTCTCGCCCCCCACTGCATGCCGACAACTAACACGGCATCTAGCTGAGAACAAACTAGGCATGACAGAAAATACAAGAAGCATCGAGCGACACGCTACATCGGGGAAAGGGTGCGACGGAAATGACAAGGAGGCAAATGGCGGATTCCTGTCAAAAGAGGTCACATTCAGTCCGGCACATATCTTGCAATACAACACGTTCTGCCGTCTCCCTCCTGCGCTCCTCCTCGTACTATCACATGCTACGCTCTATCCCCTGTGAAGTAGGCAGTGCGGTTGTCGTGTTGAGCGCGTTGCTGTCCTGTTTAGAAACACGAAACCCACTGGGGCTGTTGTTCATCTTTGAGCCGCGAGGTCATGATCCTCTCTGCCTCCCCGCCGCACCCGCCCCGGCACCTTCGCTGCGAAGATCCGAAAGGCGTCAGGGCCTCCGAGTCTTCATCGGAATGTTCCGTACCTTCGTTTGTAGCTCCGAAGGAAAGCCGTCCCGCAGGCACTCCAAGTTTGCTTCAGGCAGCCCCATGCCTCGACCCACCCCCCCACGAGATTCGCGAAAAATAATCAATCTCCGCCAGTCGTCCGTCCGATTGTCTGCTCAACGCTCCTGCGAATAGCAGCCACCGTAGTCCGGCAGTGGAATCAAGGTTTTGTCACCCGGCCTTTTGTACAGTCTGGGAGCACGAGAGCTGTCTTTATGCACGACGCGTGCGGCGGTATATAGATATATACAGATGTATCGCAGGAGTAGCAGTTGGGTGTGTCATGCATCGGCAATAGTAGAGCCTCCGTCGCATCCGCTTCACCCAGTCAGCCCTTTGAGTCTCTACGGTCCGTCCTTTTTACCGGTCAAAGAGCCCCCGTGAGAGCTTTCTGATGAACCGAAAGCAATACTCCGGTGGTTTATCTCGTGCACAGCTTGCCATCTTTGTGTGTCACGACCTCCCCAAGTGTCAGAACCCATCGGTCTGGGTGTCTTCATTCCCCGCGATGCGATCAATAGCGGCTGACGGTGGGAGAAACTTGTGGCAGGAGGAAACGTGCAGTATTCCGTTGTAGCCGACTCTTTTCCGTTCCATGCGAACCTCTTGTTGTGGACCGTGGGCGTCTTTCGCCAGGGTTGGCGCCTTGGGGTTTACCTTTCGCGCGTTGACGGGTGCCCGTGCTGGCGTCAGGGGGCGAATAACGAAGCTTCGGTAGAAACGTGCGTGGGCTAGTGACAATGTGATGGCAAGGCGAAGAATGACATGACAACTGTCATTTCGAAGAATTATACAGTTGCGGACGAGTGACCACCACTGTTGTGTAGGTCGAGCAATGCTGAATGTGCTCGACACTCGATGAGGATATGTCGAGCGTAGTTGTTTGGTGAGAGTCCTAAAGGTAAGAAGCTGTTCGTTTGAAGTTCCTAGTGGGGCAATCAAGTCTGCAGGGAAAGGTTGCTAGAAACGTTGCAGCTGCCGGGAACAACGTAGAGCGAACGAGCCGAAGTCTCTGTAAATCTGTAGCTAGGGGGTAACAGGCAGTGTGGCGTGCTTTCTTGAGACGCGTCTGCGCGCAAAGGGAACCACTTGTTGACTACAAAATATTTGTCGCCTACTTTTTCCATACACACATCACATTTGCTCATTAAGGCCTTGCCTCGGGAGTATAGCTGTTATGTTGATGGAGATTAGTTCTTAACGGGGACACCAGTATCCCTTCCTATCTAAAGTCCAAGGACAGAGGCACCATTGGCGTCTGGCTCTGATCAAACCGTAACTCCCAACTTCATCACCATTGACGATACTGGTGGCCGCGCTGCATTCTCCAAGATAGGCAGGTGCCGGTCCACTCATTGCCACACACCATACAAGTTGTATGTACAAGACACAATTTCTAGGTCTGGGACTCTGTGCACCAACGATGCTATCGGGCGGGTTCTTAGGCTTCACTAAGACGGCTACGCAGCGACACCCTGCCTACGTGCTCATCACCATTTCTACGAATAACATGGTTTTCTTGAGAACGAAGCAACCCTTATCCCATTGTACTGCATATCAGACCCGCTACAGCAGTAGACACGACAAGGTCTGCGCTATATAATGCTTCAAGTACAACATCAATCTGCTTAGTCGAGGGACAGCCTCGATCAAATATCGACGACATCGTAGAGAAAAAATAAGGGACCGCCCGCGAAACTCCACGAATTGTACGCCTGACGTTGCCTGCAACAAGACCTACGAGCGTTCTTGACGTCGAGATCGCGAGAAGAACTGCCGAAACGCACGGACATCACTGTCACAAGCAATCGTGTAAGCCCCTCGTACTTCTACGTGCGGCACCGCGCCTGTGCGTGCACCAAGAGTCAGTTGTCTTCTGGATCTCCTGCTGTTGTCAACGTCGGTACACCAGAGATTCTGTTTGGGTGGCAAACAATTTCCGACCTGGAGCAAAGGCGCTCTGCGTGACTCTTCTCAATAGAGAGGGGACGAAAAGCGGACAAATCCTGAAACTGTGTTGTGCGGGGCGTTCGCTTCGGTCGCTACTTATGTGATAGTCAACATCGAACTTCCAAGGTTCGAGGACAACGAGTTCCATGTCCTACTGCAGTGCCTGTGCTTCAGGAGGCTCTGGATTCGTGCTCACGTACCACCACAATACGATGTACTTGGAATAAATTTGTACGTATTTGTTGTAGGGCCTACTGTTCGGAAACAAATCAATAATGCGCAGCTAGTCGCGTGTTAGGCGGTCAACTTCGCGCCGGCGAACTAGCCTGCGCGTTGGCAAGCCCCGTGGGCGGGTATATCCGAGTTCCCCCCATCTGTTCTACTTGCTGCACCCCAAACGGAACAATTGGCCCTTCCGTCAATGAATTTACCCTGTAACCGTAGAAAACTACGTGCAAACTGATGACGCACATCATGATCTTGGCTAGATACAAGAAGGCATCGTCGCTGTCACTGGCAGTTTCTGTCACAGCAGCTTTTGCGTGAAGGGTTGCTACCACGGCGCCCATCAGGCCCCACACCAGAAAAGTCTCGCGTTGCTTGCAGCAACACGCAACCACGCTTGACGAAGGGATTCCCAACAAAACAGTCATGATGCACCATTCCGACCGACAGAACAATAGTCTATCGCCGTGGCTTCCGCGCACGCGTGGAAAATGGTCACGTTACGCGCAAGACCCATTTCAACTGGATCGGCCATCGTTATCTGGATATGAACAGGGGGTCGATCGAGGGAAATGCGGCGCGGACGAGAGATTCACGAATTGGAGATATTTTACGACCAACTAAACGGAGGAGGAAGCAGTATTGCGTGCATTGAGCCGCTTTCTATGTAGAGTATGCGTCCCTAGATCGTCTAGAATAGCAAACTGATGTACATGTGTTGCAGAAACATGCCCTCCCAGTGTAATAACTTGCATAAACTGCTAGTATGAGTACTGTTCGGTACAGCATTGAGTCTCGCATGAACAACTGGTATGTGCACAGCAGAGCAGTAGTCTACGGTACAGCATTGAAATAGTCTCGATAACGAACGGGGCGAGCCCAACACATTGAACTAACTACATGTTGTATACACACTGCACTAACGAACGGGGCGAGCTCAACACATTGAACTAACTACATGTTGTATACACACTGCACTATACGGGAAGGCAGTCGTGCAGGATTGTATTGTGTCTGCAAACACAATGGACTCACCGGGTAACAACACGCCATGCCGCTGTTTACTCTGACTGGGGGAACTGCGGGGGGGTGCTGCTGTTGCACAACCTACACCACGTGCGGTTGTTGTGGCTGTGTGACCGCCGTGCTGGGCACTTCGACGACGACCGCCGGTACCGTCCCTCCGAGGGTTGCACCCTTTTCGTTGTGATTCATGATCTGGCTCTTCCAACAGCGTTGACATGCGACACACACTCTCTCTCTATCGCTCGCTCTCTCTCTCTCTCTCTCTCTCTCTCTCTCTCTCTCTCTCTCTCTCTCTCTCTCTCTCTCT